ATAGTTGCAGAACATATTATCCTAAATGGGATTTAAAAGTGTTGATAGGTTTCACAGCAAAACTTTCTGAAGCCCCAAATAATATTTAAAGCGCAACTTGTGCCTTTTAAGTAGTAAATAAATGTACAAATCATGCAATATTTTTATTAAATGTACAATAAATTCATTGGTTAGAAATGCACGAGTGGATCGAATATAAAATATATGTTTCGAAGCTTGCCAAAACTAACGAACCGACTTTACGTATTAGGTAGTAAAATCTTATAGCATATTGTGCTATTTTTAGCCCTGTTTATGCGTGTGTGTTTTCCTGCCTTTTCTCATTAACGCAAAGTCGAAGGAAAAGCGGAAAAATCTGTGGCTTGGGGTGCTGGGAAGCTTCACATCATTTTCGCGCTGGCAAAACTTGCCCGACGAGGTTTTCTTTATATATAGCAACATAAACAACAAGGACAGCGAGTGACGTCAAAGTGCTGCTCAAACTGTGCGACAGCGACATCCTTTTCGCTGCAAATCACGCGGCCAACAAGTGCCATCTTGGCAAGTTTCCGCAGTTAAAATGGTTAAACTAATTGATGAGGCCATTAAAATTGAGAAAAAGGCATCAAAAGTACAAGAAGGAAGCCCAGATAATACTACAGACATGCATAGTCGTCTTTTGAAAAGCAAAAAATATGTAGATACCAATTAAAATAAACCTTGGGGGTTGGAGAAATGCCCTCCCAATGGAATTAATTATGGCGCAGGGTATTCTGTAATCAACTCGAGCAATTTTAAAATAACAAAGAACAAGTGGGCGGGAGTGCAAGGAAAATCTTGACGGAAAAGTCGTTGCTTCAGGGGTGAAAGGGGTGAAAGCGGCTCTATTTCCCCTGCAGCTGAGACTCCTTGTCAGTCTGAAAAATGACATATTATTGAGTGACGTTGAGCTTGCAATCGGCTTGGGTTGAACTGGAAGAGCAAATGTCATAGCGTAGAGCCAAAAGAGCTGAACAATCAATTCACAGGGCTGGGCAAATCAAAGCCTTAGGATCTGACTGGAATTTTGGCCACTTCAATGGAATTCACATTTTCAGCAATTTTACATTGCGGTTTCCCCTAAATTTGCTGTTTCAGTGGACTTAACTAGGAAGAGCTGCAACCAGGTGGATAATTCCTGTCGCTCTTCAGCAAACACAATCACAAAGTCTTCCAAGTCCAAGGCGCTGTGCCTGTTGCACTTTCCATCTGCTTTTCCTGAAACTGCTGCGTCAGGAGCATGTGGCAGCTGTTTGCCCAACTGATTGCCGACTGGAATGCGAAAACGCAAACAATTGTTCAGCGTCAGCAGAAGATACTGTTCAATACAGATACGGACAGATAGACAGATAGGCAGATCCGGCAGATACAGAATTCGGGGGATTCAGAGGATACGGATACGGATATGGCGGATGGATGCGAGGCGGATGGTCGTCACACCGAAGGCGAAATAATGAATGTTTAGCCAAAGCGGCGACGACAAACAAGAGAAATGTGCTTTTGTGCCGCAGAAATCCTTTTCAATATCCTGTTGTTGTTTGTTAGCAAGGGGAGTTTTGTTTTTAGAAGCAACTCGTATTTATTCGCTAGTTATATTATTTAATTATTTGCTACTTTAAGTGCTTTGTTTGTTTTACAAGCCATTTTCAACTTTCCTAATAGTTTGTTATCATTCGAGATTATGTCCAAGTCCGAGTCAGCCATAAATGCATTTTCACACATTTTCCTCCGCTTTTGCTTTGCAAAAAAAGCTGGGCACAGCCAAATACATGGCCGAAATATTTTTTGGTCTCGTGCGCTTTTTTGCTTGTTTGCTTGTGATTTTGTTGGCCATGTGGAAAAGTTATGAGGCGCCGCGAGGGCCAAGCACACGCACACATCCTGAGGAAAAGGGATGGCCAGGCCTCAAGGATTTGACGCTCTGCTGCCTGCGAAAAAGCAGAGGATCTGGAAAAACGGGCAGAGCGACGGCCTTGCATTAAATCGCATTTTCACCCAATTTCCCAATAAGTTCGCCAGTGGATTTGTGGCCACAGCGGAAATCTATTACGTCCAGCTTCCACTCTGCCGTCAGCGAGTGAAATGGATATGTATCTGTGGGGTTTAATCAGTGAGGCCTAATGAATATTGAAGACCGTGGCTGCGAACATGGCAATAAATGCGCATATATACGCATTATGACCTGTCCAACATGGTGATGCATGGTTAAAAGGCCAAAAGGCCACAGGCCAAAAGGCGTTTTGACCCAAATTATGGTGTTGCGGCCAAAGTGAAACCCATTAACCAATGCCAGAATGGAATTTAGGCAGCGATGGTGGACTTTGGCGTGGTTTCATCCGGAAGCGATTTGTGCACTAAATCGGCAGCCTGGAATCGGTAATCTGTCATTTATACCACTTTCTTGCCAACTTAAAATCATCCAGAAGCTGAAATGATGGAAAACCTCGAATATCTCAAGTAAATCAAGTAAATTAATAATAGAAAGATATCATCAAGCCTGCATGGATTTTATAAATATACATTTTAACATGTGTATCTTATTTTGAGCCAAACCAACGCACGTTCTAATTATTCTTTGCCTTAAACAACTGGATCATTTTCGCATTGATTTTCCCTATCACATGCCTCTCCCATTATTTTTGCAATTCGATGAGTTGCCAGGACGAAACAACAGAATTTCTTTGGGGTTTTGTCCTGTGGTTCCGATCACTTTGCCGTAATCAAAGCCACGCCCCAGAAAGTAGGCTTTAATTTATGCTGCTGCGGCAGCCGAGGAAATCAGAGATGTGTTGGCCACTTTAATGGCTGCATTTACGCCCACAATTGAAGGACGGAGGGCGTGCCAGCTGCTGTGCTTGGGCATAATTAAAAATTGCATACATACTCGATTTTAATTTGATTTCGCCCGGCGACAATTGCATCTCCGCCAATCTGCGGCTCCAATAAGTGGCTAAATGGGGAATGCTCTTTTCCCATTTCCCATTTCCCGCGACCAAGCGGAAAACCAACTCAAAGGGAAATTTATTACATTGTGGATGGCCTTTCTATTTTCTCTTGCCATCTGAAAAGTTTCAGGACTGTGCTTAAATAGTTCAAAAATCCAATATCATTGGGCACAATGTCTGTGATATTTAGGGAGCAATGGTAAATGTTTGGTTTTTCGAAACACCTAATTCGATTTTGCACAATATGACGGCGAACTTTGATTCCGCCTCATTTGCATTTGCATTTCATTTCAGTTCAAATCAAAGAGCAAAAAGCCTGGGAATCCGAGCCGCCGCAAATTGCATTTGCCAGTTACAATGGCCGACAGATACATTCGCATCTCGACCTGATGGCATATTCAATTTCAATTTCAACTTCCATTTACATTTAACATTTCCATTTAAATGCATAAAATCTGGGCCCGGAACCCACAAGCCCCCTAATGTGCTGCATGCCCCACCTGTCCTGCGATTCTCCGACCAAAAATCTCCGTATCTGGGTCATGCCCCCAGCTTGTTTGGGTTCGCCCCATTTTTCCACGGTTTTTGTTGCAATAAATTGCTTAAACATGAGCCCCTGACCACTGCGAGGATTTAAAGCGAAGGGCGTTTTATTTTTTGTACTTTGAGAGGCTTGGTGCTGCTACAGAAAGGGCTCTCGAAATGCCTCGTATTTCCATCGTATTTTCCTGGCTAATGAAGGACATTCGGTTTCATCTGAAAGCTGCATGGCTGGCATCAGTCAGTTATTAAAAACGGTCTCAAGTTGAAAGATTGAGTGTATAGACTGAAATAGGGAATGGAAATGGCTGCATGTTTTCATCACTTTTCCCGAGCGTATCTGGGATTTATGTATCTTTCCCCTTTCGCATCGCAGTTCCATCTGCAAACTCTGCAGCTAAATCAATGCGCTCCCGCTGATGACGTTAATCACTTCGAAATGCGGTCAGCGCGATGGGCGGCGGGGGCGTGGCTAATTGCGACTGCGGAACATAAATCCAGCAAGAAGAGGCAGCCCGAGGAAGGGGAAGGGGCTGCTATAGTAATCGCAATAAAGGGAGGGAAGTAGGGTGGCAAGATGACTGGCACCCCGCTCGGCCGGAAGTGCCCCCCGTTTTTTCAACTTCCGCTTCGGCGCCCCCAAAAAGGCGCGGAAATTCAAAGCAGCCTCGCTGAAGAGGAAGGCCAAGCCAAAGCCAAAGCCAAAGTTAAACAGCAAGCGGAGAACTAAACAAATAAAATGGCATAAAACTGGGGAGAGTCGGGCGCTGCAGATGCTGTCATGCATGCGGAAGTGATGTCAACAGTGTGTGCCGCCTGAAAATCTGCATTAAAAATGTCGAAAAATTACTCAGCCAAAGTTAGGCGGTGAGGGGTGTGCGGGAAAGTGTGTGGGGGGGGGGGTTGTATCAGAAAAGGTGCTAGAGCTCAAAATTGCTGGAAATTTAAATGCAAATTCTGCGGTCGGTTGGTCACGTTTTGCTGCAAAGCAAACATCAATTTAAAATTTAAAACCGTTTACATGGGGATTTATTTATTTAGAGCCCCACAATAATTGATAATTACTTATGCAGCAACATAAAGCAGACACAAAATGCTAATTGCTCTGATTAACTTTGCAGCCAACAGGCAAAAACTGATGACTAACTTTAAAATAGCACCACACAAATTCGGCAAGAACACAGTTTCAGAGTCACGTTTTGGGGGCCAGCCAAGCCCAGTTTGAGCGCCACTGGAGCGGAGCCAAGTGAAGTGAAGTGTACTTGAGTGATGTGGCCCAGTGCCAGGAGCGCTGGCTAAGCGATGGGAGTCACTTTCTGGCAGAGCTCGTCACCAATGCCAGAATGGCCTTGATAAATGGCTGCCAATGGCAGAGGCCACTAAAAATGAGTAAAGATTACTTAAGCAGTGGTTTTTTATCGATGCCGAACCAGTTTCACCATGGAGCAGCCATACAACTTGCAGCTGCAGCAAAAGGAGTTTGATCTTTGCGCTTAAATGTGATGCCTAGTCTACAGTTTCTATAGCTGTAGTTGCACTCCACAATATCGTTTATTTGATTACTACTTTGAACAGTGCAGCAGCATGGAAATGAATACGTGTATTTTACAGATTTATAGGTAGTAAAAAGGGAATTCCCATTTGTTTAACCAACTGCGGCCTCAAGCGCGCTGCTCATTCCACATGCGTTTGCCGTAGACGGGAATATCTGTCCAGGTGTCCTTTAAGTCCTCCAGCGAGAGAGCGTCCACATAAACAGCGCCCAACTTGACCTCCGTGCTCGACTCCGCTGGCCGCTGGCACTTCACGCCGATGTCCTCCACCCGGACGGGTCCATCGAACTTGACCAGGTAGTGGCGCATCTGCCAGCGCGCCGCCAAGGATCTGCTGTCCTGCTGCAAGCGAGAGCGGCCGCTGGGCAGGTCGCCTGCGAGGGGGGATAGGTAGCAGCGTTGTGGAGCGACAATGGAGCCGGTGTAGTCGCCGCAGAACAGGTACAAGTCCTCGTCATTCCTGCGCAGCGGTGTCACCCGCACGAGCAAGTCAAAGTTGGGGGCCACGGCGTCATCGTCGATCTTGAACACATAACTCACGAGCAGAACGCCGAGGGGCAGCTGGAAGTCCGTGACGAAGAGCCGGAAGGCCCGCTCGTAGTTGGTCATTAGCAGGGAGCAGCCGCCCGAGTAGGCCTCGTCGAAATGATGCACTGCATTCCTGTCCAGCGGCACCGAGGGCTGCAGCGATTGCAGCGACAGATTGAAGAAGGGCCTGTCCGCGGCCGAAGTCCTCCAGCCCCGCTCGAATTTCAAACGACCGGAGCCCACGCAAAAGTCCGTGAAGAAGGGCAGCGAGCTGTACGGATGCGTTGCCAAAGTGGGCCAAATGCGAGCCCACCACGCCTCGTTTCTGGCCAAAAAGGACGCGTTCACCTGGTCGTCTCCGCGTGGATTGTGGATGTTGTACCCAAAGCGATTGAGGGTCTCGAAGGTCCAGCCGGGTGCAAAGATGCCCGCCGAGAAGCCGTTGCTCGCAATGAGCTCCATGGTCTCCAGGCTCTGGAAGCCGCCCCTGCGGCTCCTTCCGAACACATCCAAGCCCATGAAGACACGATGCCGCGGCGACTGCTCCTTCTTGGCCTGCTGGGCACTCCGCTGCAAGTGCTCCTCGTCCCAGGCGTAGTTTATGAGCGTTCCATGGCTCTGCCGGAAGAACTCCGCGTTGCGGGCGTTCAGCTCGTTCTGCCACCGCAGATGACCGTCGTCCGTCACACTGTCGTACCAAAAGACACGTCCATGGGGCACACGTGACTCCGTGGCGGCCGTCAGTTCCCGGACAAAGCGGCTGGGAAAAGGAAAAGGGAAGCGGCATAATGCGATTATCAGCAAACGGTGGCCATTAGTTGGGATTAGGTTCGGCGCCTAATGAACCTACTTATTACCATCTGTAATTGGGAAGTGAATGTATTGAAATTTCACACGGATGTGTGTCTTCTGTGCTCCGCTGACTTGTGCAAAGTGCAATAGGTCAACTTGCTGGTGGTGTGAGTATAAAAGAGCTCGTTGTGCCTTCGACAGCTCATGATAGATTGAATTGGAGAAGCTGTTGATGAATTGGGCAGCTGGCAGAAGTTTGCTTCTATGGCGAATTTGATGTACAACCATTTTTCATGTAAACACTCACATTCTGCAGCTTTTACGAACTCCCAGCTTGCGAACGTATTTGAAAGGGGTAAGGAAGACCCTTTTTGGATGAGTACTCACTATAGACTGGGCATTTTGCCCTGGGGAACAGGCACCTCCACGTTGACCAGCCATCCCTCGAAGCCGAAGTGCTCGCAGAGCCGGGTTAGGGCCTCCACGGTGCTCTCGACACTCTCCTCGCTGGCCAGGAACTCGTCCAGGCGTGTGGCAGCCTCCACGATGAACGTGCCCACCACCGGAACTCCGTGGCGATGGGCGGCATTCAGCCAACCGCAGGGCGGAATGGTCACGTAGTCGTGGCTGAAGTAGCAGAAGTAATCCACGGCTGCCCAGTGCACGAATCGATAGTCGTCGTACTTCTGGGAGCTGTGAAAGTGCCTGAAGAAGTGCAAAAACCATTAAAGACTTCATTTTCGGACCTCTAACGAGCAATGTGGAGCACACAGACTCACCGATCCTCGAGGTAATTGCCCATCATGTCGTGGCAGACGAGCAGCTCCCTGCGATTATCCTCGGTCACCTGGCGCCGGCTGCTGCCCACGAAGTCCGCCTGGCGGTCCAGATAGACGGCTGCCGCCCGAACGCCGGTGTCCAGTGGCTGGACATACTGGCGCCAGTCGATGTCCCGGCTCCGCACCCGGAACTCCAGCAGCTGGCGGTTGTCCTTGATGGACTCCGCCTCCAGTTGGGCTGCAAGGGCGGGGGATATGTGAGGCTCACGTCGTAGGGACATTACTTCCAAGATCTTTCCGCGGATGCGAGCCGCTCGAGGGCTCAGTGGACAATGGAGAATGGCGAATGGCGAATGGCACAGCAGTACGCTACTAGCTAATCTCTGGCAAATGTGTTTGTATATCTCAAATATTCGCGCTTCGCCTTGAAATGGCAATGGGTGGGAGTATGTGGGCTGAGCCGCACTGGGAAAAAAAGAGTGTCGATTTCAAATTTACTTGGGTAGCAGAAGAGATCCAAAACTTGCATGGACTTCAAGTACCTAAAAAGGAACATGTTGCCTTTAAGGGTAATTGTTTTTTTTTATTTATTATTTCCTGTGCTAATAAATTCTGTAATTCCCTGTAATGAAACGCTTTACCCTTTTCGTCTGCAAATACCCATGAATTGTGAATTGTGCATAGTGAATTTTGTAACCCCACTACCAACTACCAAGTCAAGTTCTTCCTTCTGCCCATTTTGGAATAGGCACTTAAAGTTTTTCACTGAATTCGTCGCGGTCAAACTAGCGAGCTGGTCAGTATTTCCGCCAGATAAATGCAATGGCGATTAAATGCAGCCGCTATGCAAATTGTTGCTCCAATTAAATAATAGTATCCATGTCATGGATATACGAGTGCCGAGCATATTTTTTGAAGATCTAAAGTGCAGTTCGAAAAATCAACGTTCTGAATTCTATGATTCTACTCAATGCAAATGAATATTAAGTTTCCTAATTAGCAATGTATATGTTATGTATATACTGCTGCCATTTAAGAGCTAGAGATAGTGGGGAAATTAGCCATCTTAATGAGCTTTTGCAGCAGCAGTTTAAATACCCGGGCAGCCATTTAATCAGGGGTTAAGTTAACCCCAAACCGCCGGCGACGTCCACTGCACTTAATGCGCGGTTAAATGATGGGCAAGCGCTTTATTTTCATTACCAAGCAGGAGTTTCCCTTAAAGTCCGCAATTTTCCGGGAGCAAAGCGAAAACAAATGATTCAGCAATCGCCCTTATCGCCGGTGCTCCAAACTCCCGACTTGGTGCTTTTGTGTGGCACAATTTTTGGTATGGCAATGCATTGCGTTTTTTTGGGCATGAATTATTCAAGTCGAAAGCCAAGTTAAAGCCACTTTACTAACGGGCTTCGGGTTTTGGGCTTTGGGCCTGGTCAAAAGCGACCTTCGCACTCATTTCGATTGCAGTTGCAGTTTCCGAATGTGCAGCTATGCAAACGGAAGGATGCGCTTCCTGTTGTGTTTGCTGCTGCACTGCGAGAAAATACCGCCCCACATGAAGGGGTCTCACTACTTTTGAATGACAGAAATGCACCTCTCTTCGAGGAAACATTTTACATAAAGCCTACCTTATTTAAAAAATATAAATAGAAAAAAACTTTAATAGGAAGTGGTATCTCAAGTATCTCGAGCTTTCTTTCGAATGAACAAATTATCTTTTCTCTGCTCAGTGTTATTATTTGAAAACTTGTATTTATTTAACTTATGGATGCGGGCCTATTTGTTTTTCCCAGTGTGCTTGGGCGAAACTTTCTGCAACTGAAGCAGATATGGCAGGGAAAAGGACGACAGGCGTGGCGTTTTCATGCAATCTGTGTCTGGGCGTAACTTTAATCTATCACGGATGCCCGGATATGGATTCTGGCCAGGAACAGACGCTGCATACGAATGATCCGAATGGCTGGTCACTATCTTCGCTCAGAAGAAGGGGAAACCCCCAATTGCACACTCCAAAAAGGGGAATGAGTAATAGAGCTTCAAAGATAAGGCTGTTGTTATTAACTAGCAAACAGTAAATAGTTCAACATACTTCATAGAATACTTCTAATGTAAATACTTCATATACTTCGATTAAATGAAACGTTTTTTGTGAATATCACTGTTCCGTAAAAATACACGAAGTCCAAAAGGGACGGATAAATGTGAAAGGGAGCAAGAGAGATGGACTTACTGCATCTACAGGTGCTTATGTCGTGGCACTTTTCCCGTTGCACTGTCTCTTTCTCGCACGCTTTGCGCCTTTTCTCTTCCCCTTCCCCATCGCCTTCCTTCTTCACGGCATCCACTTCTTCTTCTTCTGCTGGAATGCCGGTGACTTTGTCATTTTCACTCTCTATTTCATTGTTTTCCATCACTTTGCTGCTGGCTTCCAGTACTTCGGGCTCCAAATTATCCATCTAACACGTTTTAACAGTTAATTTTGAGCAAACTGCAGTTTTTGCTAAGCAACAAACAAATCGGCAAAAGCTAATATTTTTATTTACTTCCAGCAGCTGACAGCATTGTGTTCAGTGATGTAAAACGGGGAGAGCAGTGCTGCAAAACACTGCAGAGCGCGAACATTTGTATGGCACAGAAAAATCTTTAGCAATGGTTTTGCTCTAATTTCGTTTTCTCTTCACTAATTCTAGGTCCTGCTGGCGCCACCCAACGCCCTTGAGCACAGCGAAATGCGCCAGCACACATAAATCGCAATTAAACAAGGACAAGCAAATTGAAAAACACAAGGAGAAACGCAGTAAAATATTCGAATCTTCCCTGCAACAGCAACAAATAGCCCATAGAAACTTGGCTGGCCAGCGAGCCAAGTGGTTATTTATTGCTTGGACAGAACTTTTCGCAAAATGCCAGCGGGTCGAGTGGCTGGCAAGGCCGGCTACTCCAATCACTACTACAATGGTGAGTTCTCGGCTGGGTTCGTTTAACTTAACTTGGCCTAACTTGTCTGGTTTCCCCAGGACGCTCCTACGTGGGCATCAACGAGGAGATCATGTGGGTGAGCATCGGCATGGGCGTGACCATAGTGCTCCTGATCACGATCGCCCTGTGCTACATTGCCCGGGAGAAGTGCCAGAAGAGGCAGCGGGAGTACTACGTGACCGCATAGTCGTTGTACGCGGCCTGCCAAACGACGGAGCAGCAGGGGCATGCCCGGGATCAGGTCATGGGCATGGAGGAGGGTGCTGGCCAGCCGGAGAGCGGGAGCGGGGGCGGCAATCCCGAGGCAAGTGCCCAGGGAGATCCCCCACCGCCAGCAGGATCACTAGGCGCCGTCACCGTCATGCATTGGTCTGTGGTTGACATCTGTGCCCGCAGCTGGGGCTGACATGCCAATGGATGCGAAATGAGAGTAGCACACCCACCCGCCAGAACACAGAGCCACCAGTCCATTCCACCCGCACCACCCACCAGAAACCAAAAACCAAAAACCCACATTCTCTATAAAAACCCACAAGCGCTTCGCTGCCCAAGGCACTTGAATGCGTGGAACTATTTTTTTTTTAATTCGTCGAATGTCGCACGCGAATCTCGTTGTAAGCATATTATATTTAGAGAAAGTTACTTTAAAATACAAACGTGTTACTGAATTTGCCAAATATGAAATATATTAATATACAATATTAAATACAAGGCACTTGTGTGTTTTGCTGAATTCAACTCAAGAAGTTGAAGTTAAAGTTAAAAAAAATAGAAAATGTTCTATTGTGCAATTAAAATTTCGCGCTCTGCCGTCTTTTTTCCCTCGGGTGGCAGCGCTGTCTGATTGCTATGGGCAGCACTGGCCCGCTAACAGCTGACGCTTGCCGCTCGCTGTGAATGGCAAGCGAAGAAGAAGAGACGCGCACGTTTTATTGAATTCGTTATTATTTACAAAAGTTTCGAGCAACAAATGTGCCAAAATGGTGGATAATATATCGCTGAATGTTACGGTGCAGCCGTCGGCCCGGATAAATAAACAGGTGAGTGCCTTGGCCGAGTTATTCAAGTGATGTGCATAATTTGTTTGATCAATTTCAGAAACCGCCTTTGCAATCGGCTAAAAAACGTGCTCAGAAATCTCAGGATTTCGACTTTCAATTCAATGTGGAGAAGCCCAAAGTCAAGGCAATCGTGGTGCGCAGAAGGGCGCCTCCTTCGAAAGTGGAGCCCACGAGTTCCGGCGTCTCCAATGCCACCAAATCCCCGACGCCCTCAGTTCCGGCCACCAAATCCACGCTGCCCGCTCTCCCCGCCGCCTCCAAATCAAATATATTCAACGAGGATCTTATGTTCAATGTTGGCCCCTCGAAACCAGCGGCCAAGAGCGTTTTAGGCGACGATTTTATGCTAAATGTGACCACAAAGCCGGTGGCCACCCAGAAAGCCAAGCCGAAAATCACACGAGCCGAGAGGTTGGGCAAGAAACAGAGGCAGGGAAAGCCTGTGACGAAGCTCAGCGAGGAGCAGATCACGCGGGCGCTGAAGAGCCACAAGAAGCCCAGGAATCCCAATCAATTACCCACGCCCGGTGACCTTTTCCGGGCTCAACTGGAGGAGGAGAGGCGGAAGAGGAGGCGAGAAGCGGAGGGATTGGGAGAAGAGGATCGGGCAGCCAGCGGCGATGAGGAGGAGCCGAAGGGCAAGTCAGGAGAGGGATCTTCGAGGGGAAAAGTCAGTTTAAATGGGAGAAGGCCGCAAAAATCATCAGATCGTGAGGAGTCAGCTGAATCCGGCGAAGAATCCGCTGCATCCGATGACGAACCAGATGAATCCAGTGCAGAATCCCCAGCTGCAGGAGGGGAGCCCAAAAAAACGGCGAAGAAGCCACAGAAAGCTGAGGAAACCTCATCCCTCAACCATTTTCGCACCAAGAAGATTGGCCTCTTCGACCAAAGCGACGTGGAGGCACTCAAGCAGCTGGGCCAAAGAGCAGTGAAGCCCGTCAAGGAGACCATCTTTACAGGCTCCAAAATATCCACCTTGGGACTGCATCCTCATGCTGTGAAGAACCTGGAGGACCTGCTTAGCATTCGAGAGCTGACCAGCGTCCAGCAGAAGACCATACCCGAAGTGCTCCAGGGCAAGGATGTGCTTGTACGTTCGCAGACGGGTTCGGGAAAGACCCTGGCATACGCACTACCTCTGGTGGAACTGCTGCAGAAAGAGCAGCCCAGGATTCAGCGGAAAGACGGTGTGCTGGCCCTGGTGATTGTGCCCACCAGGGAGCTGGTGATGCAGACATACGAACTCATCCAGAAGTTGGTCAAGCCGTACACATGGATAGTGCCCGGCTCCTTGCTGGGCGGCGAGAGCAGGAAAAGCGAAAAGGCCAGGCTGAGGAAGGGCATCAACATACTGATTGGCACACCTGGTCGTCTGGTGGATCACCTGCTGCACACGACCTCCTTCAAGCTGGCCAAACTGCAGTTCCTCATACTGGATGAAGCCGATCGCCTGCTGGAGCTGGGCTACGAACGCGATGTCAAGCAGTTGGTGGAGGCCATTGACAAGCAGCGTGCGGAGTGCGAGGACAAGGATCTTCCCCAGCTGCAAAGGATGCTGCTGAGTGCCACCTTGACCTCACAGGTCCAACAGCTGGCCGGCTTGACTCTCAAGGATCCCCTGTACATAGACAACAGCGATGAGGCGGCGAGTGCGGCGCTGAAGGGCAAGGATGGCTACCAAAAGGAGACCATAGAGGCCTTGCTAGAGGTGGACGACGGACTGGGCGAGTACCAGGAGGACGTGACGGGTGTGCTGAGTATTCCCGAGAACCTGCAGCTCAGCTATGTGGTGGTGCCGCCCAAGCTACGCCTGGTGGCCCTCTCCGCGCTGCTGGCCAAGGAAGTGGACGCCAGTCCCAAGCAGTTCAAGGCGATTGTGTTCATGAGCACCACGGAGATGGTGAACTTCCATCACGACATGCTGAACGAGGCGTTGACCAGGCGAGTTCTCGACGAGGAGGACGAGGCGGAGCAAGGCGATTCGGACGACGATGGCGACATACCCTTACTGCAGGGTCTGCGCTTCTTCAAGTGAGTTGCTTTGGTTGCTTTTGATTGCTTCTAATGGCTTTCTTCTTCCGCAGACTTCATGGCTCCATGACGCAGACGGAACGGCAGGGAGTTTTCCGTGGCTTCCGCGATTGCGCCAGCTGCGTCCTGCTGGCCACCGACGTGGTGGGTCGTGGCATCGATGTGCCCGACATAAAGCTGGTGGTGCAGTACACGCCGCCGCAAACCACCGCCGACTTTGTTCACCGCGTGGGTCGAACGGCGCGAGCGGGGCGAAAGGGCAGAGCGGTGCTCTTCCTGGCGCCCAGCGAAGCCCAGTTCGTGCGGCATCTGGAGAAGAAGCGCATCCGCATCCAGCAGGGCGACATGTACGCCTACCTGCAGACCCTGCTGCCCAAGGACGCTGAGGCCAGGACGGTGCAGGAGGCGGCCTCCAATCTGCAGCACAAGTTCCAGACGCTGCTCGAGGATGATCGCGAGCTGCACGACAAGTCCTGCAAAGGTAGGTGCCTTCATTTGGGCCACACTTTAGCTATACAACATCAATGATTTAAGTTACATTTGAAGCTTCTCAGTTTGTAACGAATCCGAGTGTAGAATGCATATCTTTGGCGTCGCTTTAAGCAATTTTCACCTCGTTAATGCGACTGCAATCAATACCAATTAATCATTCCATTACCACATACCACAAAAGGGCTGTCGGATTTTTCGTATTCCGAATATAGGGAGAGCCCCTATGTATCCCGTGCCATTGGACGAGTTCCCATGGCACTTACTTTTCCAATTGCCCCAACTCTGAGCCCTGGACAAACTAGCAATTTAATCCTTTCACCAAAGAACATTAACTTTGTAATTACGATTTTTACAACACTCGGGTGGCTGAATACAAAAAAGGCGCCGAGCCAAACGCACTCAAACTCCCTGCTATTTTTCCAATTATAAGTTGGAAGCCCGGCCACGCCCCCGCTCTTTTGACCGCCCCCAGCCGGCGCAGTTATCATCCACGGGGCAGCGCGCGTTAAAAACACAAAAATTATTTCATATTTGAAGTTAATTTCGATTGCGTGTCAAATGAATCCCCACTTCCGCTCCGCTCCGCTCCGTTCTGTTCAGTTGCGCTCCTTCGGAGACCTCCAACCAGTCCAACCAATCCGCCCAACTGGGCAAGTGGGCAGCAACCCAACCCACCCCCTCGACCACCGTCATCGCGGCAAGTGTCCACCAGCGACTTCTTTCAGCGCCCGATCCTTTTTCTGCCTTCGCTTATTGCCCATTTTATTTTATTTGCTTTTCAAAACGCGAGTGGGGGAGCTACCCTCTAAAACTGGTGAAAGGGGTATGTCAGGTCGAGGGATTTGTTACCCTATCTTATGATGGGAAAGGCGCTGAAGGTAGATTTTTAATTTGAGACTGATGGACAACGGTGAGCGTTGTGTAGAAATATTGTCATGATACTTTACAGGGTACCTCCACGTCTGCTAGCTGTGCATTTGCCTACTATTCTGCTGAAAATGTAATTGCAGCGTTGAAAAGGCTGGAAAAAAAGTTAATTAGATGTTACCAAGGCGCGTTTGAAGGGTTGAGTGGAATCCAGACGATGTTTTTCCCATTTTCCTGCAATTGAAACATAAAGGACTCGTAAAAGCGAGCGGCAGGCGAGTGGAAGCGATTCTAATCGAAAAGAGGCACCCAAAATGAATCATAAATGGGGAAAAGGCACCCAAAAAAGCAGGCAATCCGAATGAGGCAACTCCTTTGATGGCCGAGATGGCGACTGCGACTGCGACTCGAAACAGGAAACGGAAACTGAGCGAAATATCGCAAAACAATGGCAAAACAGCAAGATAAATAAAGGATGAATACAAGGATATATACATACGTGCGCACACACACACACACACACACACACACACTTATAAAGTCGAGAGCGAGAGTCGGTCAAAATGGCAACGCAAATTGCACTTAAGCGCCGAGTCAAGCGTCAAGACAGGAAGCCACTTGGCAAAACTTAAGAGCAGAGCGGCCAGAATGCCCGAAAGAGACGGCACTAGCCGGGCGAAAGAGACCGGGCGATACATCCGGAATGGGAGTGGGCAGGGAAGGGGGAAGGGTCCTGGAGGATGCAGTTTTCTACTGCTGCTGCTCTGCTGCGTCCAATCAAAAAGCCATTAAAAAGTATTACGCTTGAACAAAACTGTACAAAGGAGCAGATAAAAGGCAGCCAGCCAGAGAGAGACGGCAAGTGTGGGTGGGGTGTGCCGGGGAGGTGTGCGAAAGAGACGGGCAGTGCGGAGACAAACAGGCTGGGAAAGAGAGGGAAGAACATCTGCGACTGGCATTGCATCGGTAATTGAAACAATTTTCAACTCGGAATTCACTTTTTGTCTTCAGACTTCAGACTTCAGGCGTTTTAAAGTTTCGGTAGTAGTTCCTAACTGAAAACGAACGGGGAATGTGAAATGTTATCTACGGCAAGAAGATTATATGCCTGAATCTACTGGGGGAAGCTATATTTGAACCCTATTTATTGGTCTGCTCAATCAATGAAAGTACTAATAATCAGTCTTCCGAAAACATCTGTTTTTCAAACGCAGGATGATCCGCTGACATCCACTCTGATCCTCATAGTTCCCTTTTGACTTGCAATCATTCTTTGGCGTATTTGCACCCAACCCATTGTTGGCCATTATGCCGCTGAATGGAAAGAGTTCTGTTAATGCCTTTCGAAACTAAGCCCCTGATGACCCATAAGTCCCCCGCTTTAGGGCGACACCCCCGATTAGTGGGCATCGAGTGAGGAAATCCCATCGAGAGCCCTTCGTCTGGGGTTGGGAAATGGCAATGGCAATGGGAGGACTGAAAAACAATCACAACAATTTGCCACGCCTACACAAACCGCATGGACACGCGCTGAAGAAACAACCACAAAATCCGGAGGAGGTACATCCACTCCCACCCACAGCCAGAGAAAACCAAAAACCACCGAGACAATGGCATAAAAAGCCATTTTGTGTGGCTTCTGCGGTGGATTCCGCACACTCCCCGCCTCCAAACTTCTATCCCCGAAATGACATTTATTTTATTCGCCACTTCCGGCTGGCAGACGTCTCTAAACATCCGCTGTCGTCATACTTTTTGTTTGCCTAATGTCTGCCACTTGGCAGTAATCGCATTTGCGGCAATTAAGCCAGAACCAGAAAGCCCAGGGCTTGACTTCGAGACTTTGGTCCTTGGTGCTTTGCTGCCTTGGTCCCCAAAAAAGGACACTCGGCACTCTGAACGGGATGCAGGGAGCACTGCTGCGAGTTAATTGCCGGGGCAGGAACGTCTTTGCATCCATCTCTGCTGGGCTTGCCGCTCCTCATCCCTGTCCTCCATCAGTGCTTCCTGTTTTTCTGGGATCTGCCGCTGTCCCGGGGCTGGAGGATTCGGTGTGTGTGGCCGGGATGTGCGGCTTTTCGGTAGTCAATTACTAACTCCTGGGAACGGAAAGCAACTAGTTTATTAAGGCTAATTTAGCGGCTTGCTATGTGAAGAATGAGGCGCACAGAGTTGGCTTAGGAATATATTTAACTTGAAGCTTAGGCAAATAATTTCAGCTCCGATTTTTAAGAAGCAGCCATCTAATTTAAGCGATTACTTGCTAATATATTTAAAAATTGAAAAGTAATGGTGTAGAATAGAGAATGCTTTTACTTGCTGTTGATCGTTTGATAATTATTCCCTCTGATCTATTGCCATGTTACCATATTACCATATATTGATGTATGATGATATATGAAGGCAAAACTTGAGTCACCTTCTGCTGGTGCTCATTACTCTCCCGAATCCTTGACGTATCCTTGGAAAGGACTCGCACTCGCACTCGCATCTGTCTGGTTTCGTTTGTTTCGTCTTGTTTCATTTGGAAAGTGTCGTTCTTTGGGCATTTGCATTGCACTTCTCATTTCACATCGCATTTACATATCCCACTCCGCCGAGTGGCGAGATGCTTATCGGGGTAACAATTGCGGTCCTGAGTGGCTGCTCGGCTGCTCCGCTGTTCCACTGCTCCGTTGGTAATTTGATATCATTGTTGTATAATTCGGAATTGCCTGGCATAAGTGCTGCGTAATTAGCAAGGACATGCCCACAACAGCGAACCACAAGCGTGCACACTTTGTTCCCTGCACCACATACCACGGGCATGGTTGTATGGTTATTCCGAGCACAATGCCCGGGTCTATTGTGGATGTGATGTGAAATCCTTTGCTGACGCCGCTCATTTGTCATTTTAACAAATTTATTTTGTAATGAATGCGGCTCACACACAACAGGCACACACATCGCTCGGCACTTAAGCCAAGACATCAATTAATTCTAAAGGCATTAACATTAACATTAACATATCCGCCCTCTGTCAACTCCTCTCCCTCGCCCGCAGCCTTTGTGTCCTGGATGAAGTTCTACTCGACGTTTCCCAAGGAGCTGAAGCCCATCTTCAACGTGCGCATCGCCCACATGGGCCACTTCGCCAAGAGCTTCGCCCTCAAGGAGGCGCCCTCCAAGTTCGCCGCCCAGCACGCCGCCCCCAAGGCAGCCCCGCCCACCAACCGACTGACCTACACGGAAAGGTATGCACAATGGATATAGATTGTATATACCCATATATAGTGAACCAAAAGCAATTGTAATTCGACGAGTGCAACTAACCATTTGCATCCTTTGCAGAGATCCCGAGAAGATCCAGGCCCAGAAGCGGGCCAAGCGGCGATTCACGACGACGGTCAGCGGGGAGGTGCGGCAGCTGCAGCAGCGGGACGGAGGAGCGCAGAAGCCAGGAGCACCGCCATCCAAGGGAGGCTTCATGGGCGGCGGAGTGGGTCGCAGCAGCTTCATGAAGAGCCTGGGCAAGTCGAGGACGCTGAATATGTCCGAGTTCGACAGCGGACTGCCACCTGAGGGAGCCGCCAAGCGACGCAAGCAGGCGTAGGAGGAGCACTTGGAGCAGTTCAAGGACTTGGAGGGGAAAGTGGACCCAGTGCGGTCCGGATGGAGTTCCGAGCACTTTGCGGCTCTTTATGCGCGCCATTTTGCCTGTCCGCTGTGCCTGCTCAAGCATTTAATCGAAAAGAAAATTGCTCCATATATATTATATATATAAAGCCGAGTAAAAATCTAAGAAAACCCAAGGAGATGCGCTCATAAAAGTTTCATTTTTCTCAACTTTTAAGCCCGGACGTCCTGCGGGAAAAGTTGTGGCCGCCTGCCAGCATATTTTAAGCTTCCTTTTCATTTTTTTCCACTGTTTTTCCAACATTTATTTTTTTTTACTTGTTTTTGATCACTCGCCGTAATATGTTCGTTCATTTTTTGTGTGGAAAATATTAGAAATCCATTTTCCGCTCACTGCAGATTCATTCAGTTTTGAAAATGTCACCAGCGACGGCGGGGGGTCAAAGGTCGGCACGTGTTGCCTTTTTATGCAACTGAAGCGCATAATTCGTTGGACAAGGCATAAATAAATATCGCATACATATAAACACTGTACAAACGGCTTTCGCTTCTCTTCCCCGCCAGGACGCCAGGACGCCAGGACGCCAGGACACGTGGCCCAAACGCGGCTGCGGGGCGTAGGTATTATGGCCTTAATCGCCGCCCCTCGGCGCCACTGAAAGGACCCTAATTAGCCGCTCAGCGATTGATTTTTAATTAGGCCACTGGCCCACGCCTTCGTCCACATGTCACTCAAAGTCGAAGTCAATCAAGCATGTCGATTCCTAATTACGTGCGAGTGTCAACATATGAAATAATATTTTGGTATAAATGCGTCCATTAAAGGGAAACCCACCCCACCTCTGGGGCCTCACAAAATGGGTTCCTTGGATGGGTGGGCGTCCACTGGAGTCGAGGACTTCTGGTCATGCTCCTCCGCCAGCGTGGGCGTGGCACTATTGTTCCGGGGAAATTTATTTTTAATTATGTCAATATGCCGAACCGGAATCGAAACTTGAGAAGATGGTGTAGCTATTTGATCCAATTTAGTCGCGTTATAATGAAAGAAAATTTTACAGGTATTACATTTTTGCCAAGCATCGACCTTCTGAATTTCCCTTGAAAAACAATCCGTTTGTGCATCAGGACAATATTTACAATTAATTAGAAACAATAATCAATCTACCAACCAACATATCCAAATATCACTTTTCTAAGTCTGTAAAAAAGCTATGCAATCGTAGTAAGCTATACAAGAGTGTTATTTGTGAGGCAGTATTAACAATTATACCAAGACAATTATATAATATACAAGAGAGTTATTTGTGATGTGGTATTAACAATGCTAGCCACAAAAGCCCTTTGGATGTGGAGAACTTCAGCAAAAGTGATTTTTCTAACAGTTTCGTTCCCAAAACAAGTGCTTACAGCTTGGAAACATTTTTGATAATCGGCCTGAGTGGTTCTAGGGCATTAAGTTAGCATAATTAGGCGGAAATTACTGCTCCGATCACCAAATGCGATTGGCGTCCACTTAACGCCAGCCAATCGCGTAACGTAACCAATACTTTGGAGAACCAAACCGACAACTAGCACGAATAATTGTCACTTAGCAGGGGCAATCCCACTTCCACACTCACCATCCCCGAATGTCAATGGAAAACCCCCACATTTTCAGCTCCACCCCGTTGTCAACGCCATGGGCCACATTAGAGTTTTCCTTTTTAGCCCGACGACAAAAAATGCTGACAGCTGTTTTGGGTCGTACTTGCTGACGGAAAAGTGCCCGACCCGTGTACTTTTTATTTCAATAAAGGCGAGCTGGAAAACGGAAAAGCGGTGGAGGGAGGCTAAAATGGGAGCGAAGGAAAACATGCAACATTTGCACCTGACCAACCAACAATGGGCATTGTCAGTGCGCCACTACAACTTTATTACCGCCCCCAGTGGGCGCAAGCCTTTCAATCGAGTGGAGGATTTTAATTTACCCTAATGCGTCTATAATTCGGGCCATTAGTGCAATCACATTAGCGATTTTCCACGGCCAACCCTTTTCGGCTGGACGGAGGGTGGCAAGCAGCCACTGTCCACTGATCCTGGCAGCGGGAGTTGATCCAATTAGATCGGTCCTAATCACACATGCGAACACTGGCTCGCATCATCGGAGGGCTGAATTACCGACAGGGATTACCAACAGATGTTGGCCGTTGGCCGATTGTTGGGGGAATACTTGCCACTAAATGCAGTTCCCAATAATCAACTAATGTTATTTTTGGCGTGGCATAAAAGCTTCACAATGTGAAATGTTCTTGGTAGATCCTTGGGAAACTCCTGCTTCTGTTGTACGCATTCTGGACGTCCAAGCACTCAACCCGTGCGGTAAGCCATCTCATGCCCATTTTACCCATCGTCGCCCCGCGTTAAAAACCAATTAATTTCGACGCTCAACTGGGGCGATATCTTGTGGGTACCGGGAGATCATCTGTCATCGGTGGGATCTCGCCGAGATCTCGCCGGGATCTGCAGGAGGCCGTTCGTCTTGTGACCTTCCATCGTTGCAACTGCACCGTTGCGGCCAGAAAAGAGCCCCTAATTGTTTGCATTTGTGTTGCAATTTAGCTGAAATCGCGCCTCTTGGCCAAATTGTCTTTAAATTGGCAGTTGGCGCTGTGCGCCATAAATCCGAACAGCACCGATCTTCATCTTTTTCTGGCTCTTTAGCCCCTCTTGCTTCGATTCGCGATGGATTGTTACCCTGCAAAAATGCGTAGGGAGGGCATATATACTGGTCACCTCACCACTGACTAAAATACATTGCATATTCAATATTTTGGGCCTAGTTTTGTTACTAACATAAATGTAAGGCTTTACCAATCCATCAATATATCCATTATATACCACATCTATAAGTCCAAAAGTTGCCCGAATCATATACTTTTAAATCCATCAAACTTGTGAATGTTTTTTTAAGCCCAGCGTATGCCAATTTGAATTATAATGCTTAAATAATATACCAAAGTTTCCAAAAGTTGCCCGAATCATACATTTTTAATCCATCAAATTTGTGAATATTTTTGTAACTACTTTTAAGCCCAGCGCACGACAATTTGAATTATAATGCTTAAATAAGCCACCTATTTGCCAGGTACTCCGCATTCCACAGCTCCCCTTTCCGGCCAGTTTCGATTTCATTTTGGCCAGCCATCGGAAGTACCGCTTGGCGAGTTGCCCAGCCGCCGGCCGATCAGCCAGAACATATAGCATCCCATAGCGCTCGGCCAGCCGGATCCCGAGAGTCACCCGTGGGGCATCGTTGGCGGTCAGCGGACCTCTGATATATGTGTGCCCGAAGTCCGAGTCCCAGTCAGCATCCCGTATCCAGTATCCAGTATCCAGTGTGCAGTGTGCAGTGTGCAGCCTCAGCTGCGGTCGCAAATTATCAACAAATTAGAGTTTTCGTCGAAGGAGCCGGCCAAGTCATTTGGTTTGATTTGATTTCATTTGCTCGCATGTCTCGTTGTCATTTTGGGGAGCTGGTAACTGGTAACTGGTAACTGGTAACTGGGATCGAGGAACTCGAGCTGGAGTCCAACAGGCGCGGATCCTTTTCGGGACCCATTTCTCAGCCGGCGAGCTGCGTTTTATGGGACGCCGCTGGTAAAGTGATTTCTTCAACGCTTTGTTAGCGCAGCGGATTGATGCGGCTGTCATTAGCCGATTTCGTTTTCGGCCTAAACGGGTCCCAAGATGTAGCCACCCCGCATCAGCAAACACATACATACAGGTATACCATGTAGACACATGCGAGTGTATGTACATAGCTGGCTAAATGCGTTTTTAACGTGCTTTTAATTGCCTGGCCCCCGTGGTCTTCCCTTTCAGTTCGCCTCGCCGCGCAAATTAAATCAAATTGAAACTAATTAGCATAAATAAATTTACACAAATCCAATCGCAATATGCCTCGTTACAGGCCTTCACACTTTCCGCTTCACTGGAGGATGGGGAGGTTTGGAATCAGGTCTGGCTTCTGGCTTCTGGATTCTGGATTGTAGATTCTGGATGGGATTCACTGGCTGACACTCGCAGGCGACAACTGTCAAATTGGACAAGTTGCATTTGCAAATAAATAGGCGGGCACTCGTTCAACCGGAAACGGAAGCTGACGACCCACGAATCCTGGGCGGGGGAGGGAACTGGGAGCACGGGGGCGCCACAAGGCGGCTGCGTTCGCTCTGCTTAAAGTTTTTAGGCGCTATGAAATTAATTGGATTTGCTGGTGGCCACCGTGCACAGTGGGCTGAACTTAGATTAAACATAAGTCGACTAATTATCAACAATTAAGAATATACCAAATTTGACAATATTCAAATGATAGTTTAGTTATACAGCCTGGAAAGTACATAGCCCCTTAGAGCTGAGCTCTTTTAAGGATTCCCACTGGATCTACTGTTCGAGCAGCTCCTTTCGACCACGCGGCGTATGCGCAATGTAACCAGGTCCGAGTCACCCGGCAGCCAGGCTAGCCACCCACTTGCCAGTTATTTACTGCTTTATTTGCGGTCTTGTCAAAGCAATCAACACAGCCAGAGCGTGTCCTTCCTCCCGCGGACTGGGAACTGCCTGTGGCCCAAAAGGTGGTGGCTTTATTTACTTGCCCGGCGAGTCCTTGCTGGCTCCGCTGGGTTTATTTGTAGAATGATTTTTCAATAATTTATGTATGACGATGGGTGGTTGGGCGGCTCGGCGGCTGGATGGGTGGATGGGTGGATGGGTGCTTCGGTTTGGGTGGCACTTGATTTAATGTGCGGGGTGTTACTTTCAACACCCTCCAATCACAATAATAACATCGACGCAGAGCACTATTGACTGGCGCGCTGTGACAATGCAATTATAAATGGTGACAAAATAATTTCCGCTGCGTGATTTTTATGACAGTTGTTCACCGTACGGGTGGCATTCTGCTCCGCTGACCGCCGCCACAGAATTAAATCAGAATTAAATAGTTCTCGTATTCCTTGCCATCGCCAGCCATCGCCAGCCATTCGGCCTTTCATCATTTCAAATGCCAATTTAATGACCATAATTGGTTAGGATGTGGTCGATGGCCATAATTCGAGTTCGAGCCCATCCTTTTGGGCCGGCTTCCTGTCCATCCGTCCGCCGTGTGGGTGCTGCCCCTGGAGGAGCGATCCTTTCAAGG